CCACCCGCCTTTTTGTTGCTGAGGCAGTCTATAGCGATCTCTGTCTTGCCTCTTCCAGAGCCCTCTTCCCTTCGGGGAGGGGTTCGCGATGTGTCAGGGGGTCCGCGTTCGCCCAAGATGGCTCCAAGAGGGCCTCCTACACTCCAAGAAGCTCTCCAAGGCGGCTCAAGATAGCCAACGATCGGTCAAGATAGCCTCCGACATGCCTCCAAGAGGCCCGACGAGGGCCGCAAGACGGCTCCAAGTGCTTCCGGAACCCCCTCAAGATCCCCCCAAGGAACCCCCTTAAAAACCTACAGAAAATCAATGAATGTGTGCCTTTTTCGCCTTTTCGCTTCCGATGCGCTTTTGAGGCCAGAAGATGGCCCCAAGAGCGCTCCAAAGACGCCCCAAGGGGCGACTTCGAGGGACCCAAGGGGGGAAACCAAACGTTAGGATCCCTCTCTTTTCACCGATGCCTTCTAGGTAGTCCCAGGAGGCGTTCGAGGGCTCCCAAGAGGCCCCTAAGATGACCCCAAGATCTCTCAAAGAGCCCCAAAAGGGTTTCAAGAGGCGGTTTTGGAGGCTCTGTCCTCGTCCTTGTTGCCCGCCTCCTTCTCTTCCTCCTCCTCCTCCTCCTCATCATCATCCTCCTCGTCCTTGCCCTCATCGTCTTCATTTTCCTTACGTTCCTCTTCCTCGTCGCCGTCGTCGTCGTCGCGGTCGTCGTCTTCCTCCTTCTCCATGTACATATGCATAAGCGAAGACATAAACATCTATACGCATACGTATACGCATACCCATACACGTACGTACGCATCAAATAATAAGACGCACATGCACATATCGATGCAAATATTTGTGCGTAGTCATCCACTGATGCATATACATATACTTGTACATAAACAGTTGCACACACTCATATGCAGATGGATCCATGTAAAAAAATAGACATCAAAACATGCCACTTTAGGGTTATAGGGCTATGGGACTATTGGGCTATAGGGCTATAGGGCTATAGGGCCATAAAACTACAGGTCTGTAGGGCCGTAGGACTATCGGCATTCAGGGCAACAGGGCTGTATAAAGGGCCGTAGGGCTACAGGGCTATAGGGCTATTGGGCTATAAGGCTATACGTATATTGGGCTATAGAGCTATAAGGCTATTGGGCAATAGAGCTATAGGGCTATGGGGCTATAGGGCTACAGTGCTATAGGGTTATAGGCATATAGATGTATGGGGCTATAGGGCTGTAGAGCTGTAGGGCTATGCGGCCATGAGGCTACAAGGCTATAGAAGTATAGGGCTATCTGGATATAGGGCTATAGGGCTATAGGGTTATTGGGTTATTGGGCTATCGGGCTATTGGGCTATAGGGCTATAGGACTATCGGGAAATCGGGCTATTGGGCTCAGGGCTATAGGGCTATAGGGCGGTAGGGCTATAGGGCTATAGGGCTATAGAGCTATAGAGCTCTTGGGCGATAGGGCTATAGGGCTATAGGGCTATCGGGCTATAGGGCTATAGGACGATAGGGCTGTAGGGCTATAGGGCTATTGGGCTATGGGGCTATAGGGCTATAAGGCTATAGGGGTATAAGGCTATAGGGCTACAGGGCTGTAGGGCTATAAGGCTATAGGGCTATAACGCACCTGGACACCCAGGCACCCCGGCACCTGGGCACCTGAGCACTCGGGCACCGGGGCACTGAGGCACTCGGGCACCCGGGCACCCGGGCGGGCCGCGGAAATCGGTGACACACCTCACCTAACCATATGAATCCACTCCCACACCTACAGAGGCAAAGAATACCGGAAAAAAAGCCCAAGTGAAAGTCTTTTTAGGGCTATAGGGCTATGGGGCTATTTGGCAATAGGGCGATGGGGCTATGGGGCTATAGGGCTATGGAACTAGTGGGCTATAGGGCCATAGGGCTATAGGTCTATAGGGCTATAAAGCTATAGGGCTATAGCGCCACAGGGCCATAGGGCTATAGGGCTGTAGGGCTATAGCTATGGAAATATGGGGTTCGTGGGCTCTGGGGCTACAGGGCTATAGGGCCATAGGGCTATGAGTTTATAGGGCTACGGGACTACAGGGCTATAGGACCATAGGGCTATCGAGCTATAGGGATATAGGGCTATGGGTCTATAGGACCATAGAGCTATGGGCATATATGGAACTATAGGGCTATAGGGCAAAAGGGCTAAAAAGCTTATAAGGCTATAGGGCTATAGTGCTATGGGGCTATAGAGCTATAGGGCTGTAAGGCTATAAGGCTATAGGGCTATGGGGCGATTGGGCTATAGAGCTATAGGGATATAGGATTTTAGGGCTTTAGGGTTATAAGGATATAGGGCTATCGGCCTATAGGGCTATAGGGTTCTAGGGCTATAGACCTATAGGGCTATAGGGCGATAGGGCTATAGGGCTGTAAGGCTATAAGGCTATAGGGCTATAGGGCTATAGGGATATTGGGCTATAGGGCTATAGGGCCATGGGGCTATGGGGCTATGGGGCTGTAGGGCTATAGGGCTATAGGGCGATTGGGCTATAGGGCTACAGGGCTATAGGGTTATCGGGCAGCTGGGCACCCGGGCACTGGGGCGGGCCGCGGAAAGCGGCGGCAAGGTTTACCTAACCAAACGAGTCCGCTAGGACCCCTACGAAGGCAAGCTCTGATTAGGGAACTATACCTATGCAAATCCACATACATAGACATGGACCTACAAATATATACACGCATGTATATTTCAGCATCGACATAGGCATCTGCATATACACTTACATAAACAGATGCACACACATATACTTCTACATATGCATAGACATAAACATGTACACACATACATATATATATATATAACCAACAACAATAAGCGCAAACATGCATATCTACATACACCTATACGATCTATACCCGCAACAACTAATGCAAGCGCAGCGACGGTGCTAACATTTTAGCTGCTGGTATTGTGACACCACAGCCACACACAACGGCGGAAAATGCCGGGAAACGTGCCGGACAATACCGGGCATGCAAGGCAGGACGCGCACAACGAGAGCACAAGACCATGCCAAGCACCATAGGGAAAGAGGCGCCTCTAGAAGGGCCAGCAGAACCGCACGAGCCCCCGCGACCTGCAAAACGCGTACAAAATCACTCATCGCGGGCAAGACAGATCAAGCAAAGCCTCCTGGACGAGCGGCGCACCAAAGCAGCCAGACGTGCACAAACAATGCTGGGCCACCTCGGCAGACAATGCCGTGAAGATGGGCCTGAGAGGAAGAACGGCAAGAGGAAACCGACGGAGGAAAGGAAACGGCAGCGGCGACTGCTGCGGATTACCGTGCAACGTCAAAGCCGATCTGTTCGATAATAGAAAACACGTACGGCTGCAACGAAAAAACGGCTACGGTCTCGGTCCCGGGGGAAGCCACCACTACGACTAAAATTGCGAAGATTCTAACACTTGCACCACAGGGGCAATAACACGGGGAGGAGAGGAGGAAAGCCGGGAGAGGAGGGAGGAGGGAGGCCTCTTCACGTCCGCACTCAAATGACGAAGGGGTGGATGCTGGCGGCTGGGGCGCCGCCCTAACCAGCACGCTTGGCGACGTGCTCGGCCAGGGGGGCGCGAAGGCCACGCCGTCGGCCAAGGCCTGCGGCCAACCACCCGTGGCGGAGGCCTGCCCGTGCCGCGCTGCATTGGTGGCCCTGGAGATCGCATGCAAGCCCAGAACAAGGAGGGCAAGCGTGCTCGGCGGCGCCTGGTCCAGCACTCGCAATTAATCTAGCCGCGCTGCCGAGGGTCTGTAATGAAAGCACAGCTGCGTACGGCATAACCGCACCACGGCGCAGTGGCGAATGTCGTCATGTCCGTGGTGGCAGCCAAATAGACACGGCGATGCTGGCTTGGTGATCTTGCAGACAGCGGCCCACACACAGGGAGGGCGGCATCATTGGCCAGAGGCGGCGGAGGGTCGTTTCGAGGGAGCTGCACCCAGCGCGGTGGAAGAAAGCGCGAAGGCCAGCGGTCCAGTCTGCGGCGCAAGCGCCGATGCAGGCCGCGGGCGTCTCGCGCGCAGAGCACCCCCGCATCGGCGCTGCCGGCCCTGCTCCGCGGCGGGGGGGGAGGAGGAGCCCTGTAGCAGGAGGTCGACGGACAGCCCCTGAGTCGTCGCCACCGTTTCTAGCCGGCGATGAGCCTCGAGGAGCGCGAAGATGAAGTTGCCGTCGAACCAAGAAGCCCACGCGGCGAGGCGCTGCAAGTGGCCCGAGGATGCGCGGGCACGCAAGAGGCGCCTCGCTCGACCGGCAACCCGGAGGCCGCCGCGTGCGACGTTTCCCCAGCGATATACACGGCACTCGGCCCCCAACGCCACGGCCTCCGCATTGGGGGCCCCGCGGCGCGGCCCAAGCTCCGGAACAACTCTATTGCGCTAGAGCTGGGGTGGCCCAGCCCTGGGCCCCAGGAAAAAAAGCCGCGAGGAGCCGCTGCTCTGTCCGTGGCCAAGGCGAAGGCAAGCGTTCCAGCTTCGCGGCGACGCCAGCAATCGGCAGGATGCACATGCGGCACGCTGCCAGCGACAGGAGCAAGCCGCCGCCAACCCTGTTCCACGTCTGTCCCCAGTCCTCCATATTCTGGAAAACCTCGCCCCAAAGGCGCGCCCCCTGGGCGGGGCCCAGCGAGTGGCCGAGGTATTGCGCGCGGCCCGCGATCGAGAAGGCCCCGCTGGACCGCTGACGCAGCGACCGCTGCGCGCACCTGCTCGCACTCGTGAAAGGTGAAAGGAGAGGGGCGCAATGATGGAATTGCTGCCGCGCAAGCGCGGGCCAGAGACGAAGCCGCCTTCGTAGAAGATCGGCCCCAAGTGTCTGCAGTCTGCGGGGCCACGGCGGAGGACGAGGACAACGTCGCCCGCGCGGGCGCGAAGGAGACCCCCTGGGCAGAGACGGAGCACGCGTCGCAACACCACGTCCGAGAGAATGGCAAACAGAAGGGGCGACAGAGGGCACCTCTGTCGAACCCCCGCGGCGATGCCGAAGCCGGCGCCCGTAGACCCGCAGAGGGAGAGGCGGCAATAATCTCTGGAGCCGAAGATGGCCGCAAAGCGCTGGAACCAAACGGGCCAGCCCAACTTCGCTGGGACGCGCTGGAGCAGCGACTGGTCGCGGCTCGGGAACGCCGCTTCAATGTCCAGAAAGATCGCCAATGGGATGTCTTCAAGGCAGGCGTCTGCCAGCGCCCCCTCCTCGATGCCGACGATGTTAGCCAGCATGGGCCGTCCGCTCAGGAAGCCGCGCTGCTCTGAAGAGATACTAGCTTCGATTAACGGTTCAGCGCGCAGGCGAACCGCGCTGCATGGGATGAGATTGTCGGTGCTCGCCAGGTTTAGCGGTCGCACGGTGCCTGCCGGGTAGGCCGCAGTCCCATCTGCGCGCGTCGAGATGGGCTTCTTCGGCAGGAAGACCATGACGCACCCCGCACCAAATCGAGCCCTCCGGGGGCAATCATCGCCTCGAACGCGTCGCGAAAGGCATCAGCGACCAAGTTCGCGATCTTCCGCTGCGCCTTGCAGGGTGTGCCACCTCGGCCCGGGGCGGCATTCCCGACTGGCGAATCGCCTGCTGGAATGCCCGACGCGACACGGCGAGGTGGGGCAGGTGGTCGGCCTGGAGGTGCTGCGCGTCCTCCCGCAGCCAAGTGCCCATGACCGTCGCGCCCATGTCCTTGCGCCGGAAGACCTCGGGCCAGCGATCGCGGAGAGCGCCGATCATCTCCCAGGGGTCAGTCGTCGCCCCCACGAGAGGGGCACCCAGCGCAAAGCGTTGGCGTCTGCGGCAAGGGACGAGCTTGCAAAAAAGGCGCAGGTTCTGTCGCCATCGGCACACTGCTTGGGCCGGCGCGAACTCACGGAGATCATCGCGTAGCTTGTTAAGCTCCTGCGTCGCCAAGCCCCGCTGCAATCCCATCAGATGCCTTCGGACCCGCGCAAGGCGAGGGCCTGGCGGAGACGCGCAAGCGCAAGGGTTCGCTACCATATCCCGCAGGAGCGGGCAGCGGCAGATACGCCCCAGACTGCAGGCCCCCTAAGCTCCGAGGAACTTCATGGACACACCAATGCGGTCGTCCAGCTGCTCCGCCGGCGGCTGGAAGGCGCCCGCCTGGGAGGCGAGTGCCAATTCCGCGCGACACATCGCCTGCTTCAGCAACTGGAGCCTGGAAAGGCATGCGCACCGGGGCTGCCGCGGAACAACGCGTGACAGGCCAGCGCGACCTGCCGCGGGAAGTCCGGGTGCCAAGCCCTGGATCCCGAGGGGCGCGGGACGGTCTGGACGTGGCTGCGCCGGGCACGTCCCGAAGCTCAGCTGTCGGCGAGACAGTTCTGAGCACCAGGGCATCGCGGTGCATGCACAAGCATTTGTCGAAGCATTCGACATCGTACTAGTTGGAATTGACCTGATCAAGTGCTGCGTACGTGGGCTCGGGCTGGTAGAACTCGTGGATGCCGTACGGGACCTCCACCAAGGTGCGCCAGCTGGAGGCGTCGCGATGGTCTAGCTGGCCAATGGCTGCGCCCGTGGAGAAGCAAACGCGTTCAGAGGGCCGGAGGACGCGATTGAAATTCTCCCGCTCCGCGCAAGCGAGGGGTCCTCAGGCGGAGGCCGCAGCCGGCGCGCGCGGGCGGGGGCCAAAAAGGCCAAGCCCCAGCGCGCGCGCGCGGGCCGAGCCCCCTTCCAAAATGCTAAACGCCACCTTGCGAGGGCGAAGGCGGGAGGCCAACCGATGCCGCAGCGCCTCGCGGAGCTCGTGCTCGGCCGGCGTGAAGCCCCCTGTGTGGAAATACACCGCGTCAGTGTCCAGCGAGCCTTTTCTCTCCGTCGGGGCGAAGGACCGCCGCGCGGCCAGGGAAGATGACCTCGAGGCGGGCCCGGCAATTCCATAGCTTGAGGCAGTCCGTCTTGACTGTGATGCCGACTCTGGCCGCCCCGGAGGTGGAGCCCGGGCACCACCATGAGGTGCAGCCAGGGAGCTCGCGCCAGAGGACGCTCCAGTCGGCCGTGCCACGGCTCTTGGACCAGATGCCCACGTCGTGCGTGGCCATGAGGCGGTGCGCCTGCCGCGACTGATCCTGGTGACGGGAAGCCTCCGCGGCAAAGGGCGCCTGCGTGTTCCAAGCCGTCAGGGAGAATTTGCCGAGGTAATGGCCCTGCTGGGAGGGGGGCTGGTCACCGCCCCGACCCGCTCCAGAGGCATGGCCCCGTGGGCCCGGCACCGATAAAACTCCTCAGACCTGCATGGCTCGCCAGCGCACCGCGCAATAGGCGCCGCAAAGCCCATCGACATAGTATCTCAATGGGGACGTCTCGAAGCAGCTGGGCGGCGGCGGGGTCGCTGTAATAGTGTAGCCAGGCAAGTTGGGAGAGTAGAAGAGCGGAAAAACGACCTCGGTCGACATAGACATATACACATACATATACCTATATCTACACGAAGTTGCATACGCATGTACATTTACGCATGTACATATAAAGATATATGATCAGCTTTAAATATGCACCGACTTATGTATACATACATCTATAGACACATATACAACCAGACTTACATATACACATATACACATATACATAGACATGCGCATCAATATAGACGCACGTATATACAAACGCAAATACAGTTGCATATACATATACGTATATCTATACAATTGCATATACATATACAGATGCAAATACATATATTCACATACATACGCATAGACATATAAAGTATACATATACTCCTACAGAAACGCATACATATACATGTATGTATAGAAATACTTATACCGGTGTACAGGAAAATGCATCTACAACTACAGATACATATACACACTCAGATGCATATATAGATGCACATAAATACATTTACACACTCACATCTACATATACATACAGACACATACACGTGTACATATACAAATAGATAAACATACACATATGCACATACAAATAAATATGCGTATACACATACACATAAATATATACATGTACATGTACGCATACACGTGCGCATGCACAATGACACATGCATTTGTACAAACACATGCGCATCTACCTATGAACATGCATATTCCTCTTCCTATATTTGTATAAGCCCGGGCGGGGGGAAAACCCGTCCCCCCCCCAAAAAAAAACGGACTCCCGGGATCTGGGGCTTTAAGACCCTCCAGACGAGCCTCGAAGCGGTCACTGGGCCTCACATGGCGTTTTGCCAAGCCTTCCCAGCACACCTGGGGCGATCAGGGGGGTCATCGGAGACGTCCCAGAGACCCCAAGACAGCACAAGAGCGCTCCAAGAGTGACCGACGTGACCTCAGGATGGCCCAAGAGGCCTCCAGGACGGCCCCAAAGAGGCCTCCAAGAGCGCTCCCAAGAAGGCCCCCCGAGGCAAAAATCATTGATGTTCTGTAGGTTTTTGGTGAAGTTTAGGGTTCTCCTCTTTTCGGCTTCCCGACGCTCCAAGACGGCGGTCTTCTGGGCGTCCGAAGCCGCCTGGAAGGCTCCCAAATCGCTCCACAATCATCCGAAAGGGCTTCCAGGCAGTCCAAGAGAGCCCCGAAACGGCACAACACGGGTCCAAGATGGCCCTCAGAGAGCCCCATGGCGGCCCAAGATGGCCCAAAGACACCCACCGAAGAATTCCAAATCGTGATTCGGTCGTTCAGGGAGACCACGGTTGGAGGCACGGTGGCCAGAGGAAGCCCCCGGAGGCCCCCAGAATACGCCCAAGAGGTCTCCAAGGCCTTGGGAAAGCCTGGAAAAACTGTTGAGGCCCCTAGAGGCTCTCCAAGGAGGAGCTTCCGCAAAAAAGAGCTGAGGGGGATGGGGAGAATGCTCAGGGCATGGCCCTGGCGAAAATAGGGAAAAAGAAGTATGGAGGAAGGATAACGACTAACATTATTATAGCGGCGATGCTAGAAAAGGCGACCAGGAATTATCGCTAAATTGTCGGCTTGACCTTCCTGCTATTCCGCCTGCGTACCAAACTTCAAGGACCAAGGTGCATGGCGCGAAGCGCCACTGCAGTCTTGTTCTTATATATATATATATATGTATATAGACATGGGCATGTGCATGTACATATACAATTACGTATACACATACAGATGCATGTACACAAACATATAAATAAACATAGCCGTATGCACCTAGCATGTACATGAACCTGAACATGTATGTGCTTGGATACTGTTACGTATACAGATGCGTTTACATGCATATGCACATAAAAACTTACGCGTATCTAACAATAGGCATATACACAGGCATGCGTATGTACACATACATATACAAGAACATACGTATACACCAAAAAACAACTGCACATATACGTATCAATATGCATACCTATACATGTGCGTGCACATGCCCATATGCATGAACATATACATATACATGTATGTGCATACAACTAAACAGACACATACACATACGTACGCATGGACGTATACACATGCAAATTTAGGCATGGGCTTATATATAGGTGTATATGTGCATATACACATATGCAGATGCATGCACATATACATACACCGACGTACGTATATCTACAGATACGTAAACATATGCAGCCCCATGTGTACAGACGCCTGTACACATATACTTATACATCACGTGCATATACCGATGCACAGTTACACGTGTGTGCATGTGCATGTATACAGACATGCACGTGTACGTGCACATGTACATAAACATACCTATATATATATATATACACACATACATACCAGTACAGCTACAAATACATACTGTCTGGGGTGGGACCACAGCGTACTTACGACGACCCCCTCTAGGTGGAACCATAGCCCACCCAGGGCCCACCCAGGGATCCCCAGGCCCCGCCAGCACGGGCACGGAGAACCCAGGGCTATCGTGGATTCACCGGGGAATCCTTTCGGGCCCATCTCGGGCCCCTGATGCCCCCTCGAAGCCACGAGAGGTGCCCAAGAGGAAGCATGGTAAGAGGAGCAGTGCCGTGGCTGCGCGGCCGCGCCAGGGACACGTTTGGACATCCCCAGATGGAGCACGAAACGGCCCACAGACACCGCACGGAAGGAGGATCCCGCATGCGGTACATGAGGCGTCGAACACATCCTTGGGGGCCTTTTGGTGGCCTCTTGGCAGCCTCTCGAGGGTCTCATCGCGACGGGGGAGGAGGATAAGGGGGAAAACGGAAAGGAAGGACAGTACATATAATCCAATTGCTAAGCGTCAACGTGTCATCCGACCCTATGTTCGATCTGCGCATCCCAAGCCCATGTGCCGCTTGCGCGGCGGGGCGACGGCGATGAATACCTTTGCTTCACCCGAATTTAATTTCATCCGTTGAATGTCATCCGTTTAATTTCATCCGTTTATTTTCATCCGTTTACTTTCATCCGTTTAAATGCATCCGGTTCTAATTCATCCAGTTTAAGATCGCCCGGGTTTCATTGCATCCGGTTCTCGTCCGGTTTAAATTCATTCGGTTTTAATTCGTCCGGTTTAAACTCATCCAATTTCAATCTCTCAATGGGCCACTATGTGGCCCGCGCTGTCTATTTGATCCAATCAAACCTCCTCCAATTTTAACACGTCTGGTTTACATTCATCCGGTTTTAATTCGTCCGGTTTGAATTCATATGGTTTGAATTCGTCTGGTTTAAATTCTTCCGGCTTGAATTCGTCCGGTCTAAATTCATCCGGTTTTAATTCAC